TTTGGTTACATCTAGGAGAATAACTTACATTAACATTGTCTATTACATTGATGTGTTTTTAACAGTGTTATTGTTGTGTATTCTACTTATGTTGGCAGATATAAGTAGTATGTAAAGTCAATTGGACGTGGGAAACCTGGCAGCAGAAAGCTAGGTAGGTTGACTTGAAGAGAACAATGACGGAATTAGAAAGGAATTGTTACTTGAAAGTATCATACTGTATATGAAGGAAAATGATGGACATTTGCAAGTGAAGTATTCAATGTATTGTTCCCATATTTCGCCAAGACATTCTCCAAGTTTGTATTGACATACATTAGTTGTCCTCGCCTGTGTTCTCAATCATTTCACGAGTAGCCTCCATCTAGTTGATACTGGGGATTACTGTGGTGTTCTTAAACCGTCCAAAGTAATCCATTATTAAATAAACTAATATTTCACTTGGTATTGTTTGGCTTGTATCATCCCATTGAGGTTTAAAACTGCAATTGATCAGTCTGCTAGCCACTATCCATCATGGCAATATCGTGGCATACACACAGTATGCACATATACCAATGACAGACTGATCCATTACAGCCTTAAACCTGAATGGGAAGTAACAAGCCGAACAATATCAAGTGAATTTAAATTCACCTCATTGCACAAGCAAATGGCTATCAGAACTCACTAGCTTAGTGGATAACACGATGTCGTTCGAAGTGAATGATACTGGGTTTGAGTAACAGAGTGAACATTCAACTGATGAGTCCCGAATAGGACGAAACACGCGTCAAACTGGATTCCACTGCTAGCCACTATCTATTTTTGCCTATATAAATGATTAGTTAGAAAACTCAAGATAGTTTTCCTATCATTATCATACTATTAGTTTACAATTTTCAAATACAAGAATGTTTTGTTATCTTATATGTAGTGCAATTTAAGTGAATACAATACTTTTGTATTATCAAGTAGTTGCTATGCTGTATCTTTGTGAATGCAACAGAAAAAAAGCAACTTGTCAATGGCAAATATTCATTTGAATTATAATGAAAGAAACTTTGTTTGTTTGTTTGTTTGTTTGTTTTTCCTTTGGATTATACTTTGTTTCATTAGTATTGAAATCTGTTTAGAAATATGATCTTATTTTATGACATGATCTATCATTATAAGTCAAAATGAATAATATGATTACATTTGAAAGTGAACAATACTGGGTTCGAGTCCTGAAGTGAATATTAACTTTAGGATACAGGTACATCCAACTGATGAGTTACAAATTAGACAAAACCCGCATCATGGATTATAATGTTAGTTATTATTAATCTTTAGTTACAATGCTTATGAGTGAAATCAATATCGAAGCAATCTTAACAGGATGCAAATATGACTATAAGAGACTATTTAATTGTATTGTTAAACGACAATAGGAAGATTCAAAATAAGCTATAGTATGGCCCTTCATTTTGACATCAATTATACCTCACGACGTTTTCGATAGGCTCATCACTTAAGTGGCACCGGATCTAACTTCAGTGAGATCGTTTCTGATTACTATTGAGATATACATATCAACAATCCTTGTAGATTATAATCGACCTAATTCGCGTTAGTGAATAACGGAATTAAATAAGCCAAATACGAGAATGGATTATGGAATGTGTATATTTCATGCACTCATTGATTTGACCAGGTAACCAGGGAATGAAACGAAGAGAAGAGAGAGAAGCGAAATGTTGCCCAGTGGAGAGTGTATGTGAGTCAACTTTATTTAAGTAATCGTCAATCAATACTTATAGTCACACATATATGCGCTCATATATAAACTGTCAAGATTGACAAACGAATAATTAACATGGTCAAAATATGACTCAAGTAGAATAAATAGATTGTCCTGTTTGAAAGCTAGAATAAGGTATATGGGCACAGCATAATACTTGACACCACAAACCAATACAAAAATGAATTAACACTTCAACCCTTCGCACAAGGTAGTGGCTACCTGGACTCAGTAGTCCAGTGGATAAAGTGATGGCGTTTGAAGTGAACAGTGCTGGGTTCGTGTTCCGGATTAAACATCAACTTTGGGAAGCAGGTACACCCAGATGACGTTTCCCGTATCATGGATTCCACTGCTAGCCATCATTAATCTATGCTTACAATACTTGTGAATGAAATCAATGTCGAGTTAATAACAATGGAAACATTCAAACAACGTATACAAAAGTGAATTAAACCTTCAACCCATTGCAAAAGCTAGTGGCTATCGTGACTCAATAGCTAAGTGGATAACGGTACTGGGTTCGACTCCTAGAGTAAACATCTACTACGGAATGCAGTTATATCCAGCTGACAAGTCCTAAATAGAACGAAACCCTCATCCTGTATTCCACTGTTAGCTACTATCTAGCTTGGATTATAATGCTTGTGACTAAAGTCAGTATCGAAGCGATTCGTATACGATACACAGTATTAGACTGATCAATTGCAATTCTAAACAACGACAGGAAGATTCGAACAACCAATACATAAATGAATTATAACATCTATAATTGATATGAATTTTCCTGGTATATAAAATATGCATGGATTTTACAAGTATTAGATTGAACATTAAACAATGAGTGTATAGTTTGGCTGAATACCAAAAGGCATCCCCATTTGTTTTCTTATCAACATTTATAAACACAAACAATGACAATGATATATTTGAAATTAACATATATATTTTCACAGGAGTTTTGTAGAGATTTTAGTACTTTTATAGTTGAAATCATGAGTCAATTGGAGCTAGAGTATTATGGAAAACGTGGAAGTACTGGATGGCTGCTTCGTCCTAGTATAAGAATTCACATCGGTGCGCATTCACGATCTTGCACCATGAGATTCGAACCCAGGACCTATCAGTCTTGCGCGCCAACACCTAACTTCTAGATTCCTGAACCGGCTAGCATTCAACAGTGTTAATGTCTAACTTCAGCCAATTCACAAAATTGAGCGACACATCCACCATTGTCTTCAGTGAGTTACTATCTCATAACAGATCTGGTTGAACTTCACTGATCACTGTTTCTTGCTGTGAATTTATGGCCCTCTAGTTATCACATAATCTACTCGCCGATCAAAATACGACTTATTCGCTCCTGTACTGCACTAAACCAATGACGTCCGACCGGTCTGATCAGTCCAGCACTCACTAGAACTCCAAGAAACACCTATTAAAGCCAGTCACTAGTGAGCATATGTTGATTAGTATCAGAAGGGGTTTTGAGGCGATTATAGTAATTTAGCAATTGAATTCATGAGTCAATTGAAGCTAGATCATCATGAGAAACCTGAAAATATTGAACAACCGTTTCGTCTCATGATAGTTCTCCTCATTCATGATCTCGCCCCACGAGAATCAAACCCAGAACTTATCGATCTCGTGCGTGATCACTTAATCTCTAGACCATCATGAAAACCTGAAACCACTAAACAGCCGTTTCGTTCAATTGTGTGACTCTTCAACAGTACACAATCACAATCCCACCCTACGAGATAGTTCTCTTTTATCTATTTTAAAGTAACTATGAAACATCCACAATTAGACTGTATAATCTTATAATGTAGTAACTATATTCACATGATAAACAAATTGTTTTCTTTAAATCAACTTCTATTATTCAAAAACAATTTTAAAATTGATTTTGTTGACAAAATGTTTCCTCTTCTTTTTTTTTTCTTTTTTTTTTGCTTGTTGACATGGTTACTGTTTTGGAAAATAGTAAACCTTAATTTAGGATACATTTTTCTTTTTTCTTTTTTTTCTTTTTTTCTTTTTTGAAAAGGAATTGGCAAATTAACTAATAGTAGTACATGTGATTGATTATGAAATTTTGTATATAAAGTAATTGTCTATTACAAGTGATTATTCCCATCTTTAATAAAAATGAAATTTGTATCCATATTCATACTATTGATCGTTGCTTTATTCGGTATTGTCAAGGAAACTGAAGGTGGTAGTTGTAAGTTGAAGATTTTCAATTTGCTGTAGACAGGGGGGGAGGGGATTTTTTTTTTTTTTTTAATTTTTAATATGAATGTTATGGTGTTAATAAAATAGTTGAGACTGGGATTTATGAACAAATCAATCAGATTTAAGATAACCAGTCTTGGAATTTGGGTCAAATAGCATCATGGCATTTTAGCTGATATCAGTTTATAATGAACACTGAAGATCTAATCTAACCATCAACTGGTTTATAACCCTCATTCAACCTTAGTAAGTAACTGGACAGTCTCAAGGTCACCAGAACATCACTTGAAGGTCATCTATAAATTATCATCTCATCAGTTTCTTTTACTTAACGTTGTCTGTCAGTTGATGATACAAAGATGCTATTTATCTTGTAATATCCATCTGGTTGAGATATGTTGAAATAGACAAGATTGTTTTATACAGTTGTTGGATGTTTTATCAAGATCATGAATCTATATAAAAATCCAGAAGCATTGAATCACTGTTTTATCTTATCATAAGGCTGATTAACATTGCTCTTCCATGATCCTGTAAGTAGGAGCTGAATGCAAGACCTTCGATTTCACCTGTAAATGAACCTATCAAGTACTGAGACATGATCTAATAGTATACAAGTCTGGCTTCTTCTTCTTCTTAGAACTAAGAAAGTTTTATGTGTTAATAACATGAAATGATCAAGATCTGATAAAATAAAATGACTACTAATCTCATTCTTATTGTATATACGAGTGTATCTAAGTATGATGTAATGTATTGCGTTTATCAATAGATATCAAGGTCGTCATTGGTGATATTACTCTTTTGATTCTAGTTTTCATCATTACTAACGTAGTCTTCTTGATCTTCTGTAGAGTTTTGTAATGTTTGTTAAGTTTGATTGTTCCTTCGATTCCATACCAATCACTGTTTGTTTTTGGTTCTCTTCTCTCTTTGATCATCTTAACTATCTACCCCATGGTATTTTACTTTTGATCGATGATACATACTACTTATATCTGTCGACATTAGTAGTACACATCACATTACCATTGAATAACAAGCGTATATCATTCTCAAACTTTACATGATACATAATCTTTGTTATTTAGTTAATAGAAGTAATGCATAAACATTTGATTCCTAATGAACTTATTCATTTTATTGTAATCACCTTTCCCTTTGATTTTAGCGAAATCGAATTCAACAAAAGGTAAGACACTGATTTTCGCTAATTAATATCATCCTCCTCCTTCTCGTCCTGCTCATCATCATCATCATCATCATCATCATCATCATCATCATCATCATCATCATCATCCAAAGCATCATCATCATTCAAAGCATCATCATCATCCAAAGCATCGACATCATCAGCCATTATATAAATTATAAAACTATCAGTGTTAGACTGATATTGAAACCGCCTAACAGCATTCTCCATCTAACCCTGTCCTATACAATACTTATCAGTTGCTATTCATCTTTCGTATGTATGCTTTCAATTCCTTAAACAGAGTGTTCTCCGATTATCTTCATTTCCGTGTCCCTTCATGATATCAAGTTAGGTCTTGTCTCGTAAAACAGTATGGTAATTTCTAAAATATACATCGCATCCACTTCCATCGTTTTTTCCTAATTTCTACTTCATTTAGAAGTTGGTTTGTTCTTTCTAATTGTAGGTGTTTGCTGATAATAATACTTATATCGTATTGATGATGGATGTTACACTTCTTGAAGTCTCAGCTCCTTACAGTATGACTGTCTTGATGTTCGTATTGAAGATTGTGACTTTGATATTGATTAACAGATAGTTATTTTGAGTTCCATATATTCATCAATTATAAGAATGGTCAAAATACATAGTCTCTTTGTATGAAATACATACATCACATTCTCTATTGTTAATCTATTCAAGTTGATTACTTGATTCTTAATTCAAATAATCCAGGTTCATCAGGGAATTCTTCAAGGTAAGTAGATATAATTTTTGAATAATAAGAAAAATGAATTCCTATCTCAAATCTGATTGTTTTTATTGTGAACCTTGTCAATAATAAGCATCTATGATCTATAAAAAGGAATCAAAATCGGAACTTCCCATCGATTGCCACCAAATAATCATTAAAAGAAAACCTGAAAGGATATTTTAGTATTGATACACTTAACAATGACCATAGTTACTATAGTTTCAAGCATTTGTTTCATCAATGACTTCATTAGTTTCTTTCTACTTAGATGATATTCTTTATTGATATTATCATTCTAACAAATCGATAGTGTATTCAAAAGTTTAGTTCACTTATTTTGTAACTATATAGATATTCTAATTAGCTTATGTATTTATGGTTTGTTTGAACTGAATATTGATGAATGCGGATTATATATATGTATTCTGAGATACGGATACATCCAGTTGACGAGTTTCAAATAAGACGAAACATGCGTCCTGCATTCCATGGTTGGCTATCATCTATCTTTGTTTACTATAGCTTTTTGGTTGGATCTTAAAAGTTTCATAGATTTTAAATCATGAACTGTGACTAGTGAAGATTCAAATAAACAATACCAAGTGAATTTGTGTCTAGTGAAGTTCATGTTTATTGAGTATGAGTCAGTTATTTATTCCATAGAAACGGTCGTGCGACGTGATGAACTGATTAAAGCGAGAATTGTACACTGTTGATTATCAGCTCAGGAGGTTAGCTTTCATGTGCAAAGCTGAAAGTCCTGAGTTCAGTTTCTGTTAAGTGGAGGGTGTCGAGGATTCTCATAGTTTGTCGAGGAGTTTCACATTACAGCGAAGCACTGATTCCCGGTTTTTAATGGTTGTCACAGTTAATTATTTCATTTCAATTTGTAATTGAATCACTAAATCATTTACTTCTTTTAATCATTTAATATTTCAGTCTAATGTCATATGCTGGGTAAAATACACAAAATTGATACTTTGCATTGCTTCATTTAAATCTTTTGTATCATTTTCATATTTAATATGTACATTCTGTTAAGTCGGTAACAAGTTCATTAAATGGTAGTTGAATTATACAGTATACGAATTATGGATATAACCAATGTTAAATTCACCTGGTATTGTTTTACTTGTATCTTCTCATTGCTGTTTAAAACTGAAATTAATGAGTCAGTTGTTGGTATATATGCATCCTGTGTGGATTGCCTCAATATAGCTTTAAGTCACAAGCTTTACAAGTAAAGATGGATGGTGGCTAGCAGTAGATGCATATATACCAACAAGAGACTGATCAATCGCAATTCTAAACCATAATTGCAGGATACAAACAAACATTACCAAGAGAATGTAAACTTTAACCCATTGCACAATCTATTGGCTATTTGTACTTAGTAGCTAAGTGGATAACGTGGATAACGGTTATGTACTTGAGTATCGGAGTGAACATCAATTTGAAGATCAGGTATATCCATCTGACGAATTTAAAATAGCAGGCAACTTATGTCGTAGATTCCACTAGTATCCACCATCTATCTTTGCTTATAATAATTGTTAATTTAAGCTTACATGAATTTTTATTACATACATATAAATGAAACATTGAAGTTACTGGTAAACTCCACTTTAAAATTGAACTTGGTTAAGTTCACATATTATAGATATTACTAAAAAATCAATCAATCAATCAATCAATCAATCAAACAGTATTGATGTCAACTTGAAAGATAACATGATGATCATCCATTGAATAAAATGTACAACTAAGAGGAAACCAATTACATCTATGGTTGATCATTCTAAGAATAGAATCAAATCAGTCAATAAGACTTATAATAAGAACTTGTTGTTATAACTATGAAAGTTCAGAATCATATAGATGCAAAGAAAAATTCCAACTCTTACAATTATGCAAATATCATAACCAGTAATCTAATTGATAATGACTTGAGACTTAAGAGAGAAGATAGTGTTTTAGAATTCTAGTGTTAACATCAACACTTAGATAGAAATACATTCATTTGATCAGTTACAACAAGGACGCAACCCACCATATAACTACAATATTTGTTTTAGTTACTCTAATAAAAATGTACTTTTTTTTTACTATTAAAGTACTGCTTGGTCATGGTTTGAGTAAGTCCCATGAAACATTTTGATTCTTAATAGGCCATTATTGATTATAGAAACTACTCTAGATAAATCTATGTTAACTGTTTATTGAATTGTATTGTTCTGGGAGCAGTTTCATTATTAAAGCTTATTTTATAACCTTGTTATACTATTTGACCAAAAGACTGATAAGTAGACAAAGTTTATTGTCTAACCTATGTTAGATGTTCATTTAAAAGTCTTGATCAGTGGAGCTAATTCATATCAAGTAGAGACTAGTATTTACATCAGTACAATGATAAATGATCGCACAATTTTGTGGATTGGATACTGGTTCAAATAGATGGTGATTGGAGGTAGTCGACAGGAAACCCTGGACCCGGGTTTCGTGCTACTTGGCATTCGTCAGCAAGATGTACCTGTAATCATTGAGGGAACTGGCGCTCCCTGATGGATTTGATCCCGTGTCACCCAGATTTACAGTCACAGATGTTACCACTGAGCTATCCGGGCTGACGAGTGCCAACTAGCAGGAAACCCGAGTCCAGGGTTTCCTGTTGACTACCTCCAATCACCATCTAATCTTACAATAGTGCCCGCAATGTCGAGCCATCTAAACTGGTGGCGACATTGTAACATGATCGATAGCATTCGATCTGCACTAATAATAAGGACTAGACAAGCATGACATTGGTCACCACCCAGTGATCAATCAATTGTGACTGGTTCAAATACCTAGAAGTTAAACGTTCAGGTACAAGACCAAAGGTTCTGGATTCGAATCCCATACACTATTCAACAGTTCCGTAATAGAATGAAAACTCTATTCAATGCTAATAGATTTTCAATGATGATCTAATATGAATCAATTCATGATCTTAATCAATATTAATTGATTTTTCTTATCACAATATTTATGTTTCATTGATTTCAAAACAAAAAAAAAACATAATAAATTACCCATCTCTTTTTCATGAAACAGTTCATTAGTAAATCAATTATGGTAAATTATCAATGTTAATGTTTAAATTCAGTTATTATCACTTATGATGACCTTTATTCAATCTATTACAATCGATTTATAGTTTAACCAGTATAGAAACGCCAATGCTAATTCATTTCAGTGATATCTTGTTGATTAGTTTAATTTAGAAAGAAATTTACTTATTTAATGATGCCTGTTAATCCTCATAGAAGAGTACAGATCGTTCTGCGTCCGACTCTGTCATGAGCGATACGATTGAGTTCCTTCCAGTTCCTATTCATCCTTCACATCCTTCTCAATTGACATTGAGTATCTTGTGTAGACAATTGTTTATAAATAATTGTATCTTCTTGATGATGGATGTGGTACTTCTCAAAGTTTCAGCTGAATACAGTAGAACTATCCTGGTGTTCATATTGAACATTGTGACTTTGACATTGGTTAATAGTGATTTTCAATTCTATATGGTCTTGAATTGCCAATTCATATATTCACGTCTGCATCAGATCCTCCACGTTCGTGGATGATGCTACGTAGATGAGTGAAATTTTTCACCTCTTCTAGAGTTTCTCCACCAAATGTGATCAGGTTGATATTATCCGTATTGAATTTGAGGATTTTGGTTTTTCCATTGTGTATATTTAAGTCTACAGATACAGAGGTTTCTGCTACACTGTTTGTCTTGACTTCCATTTCTTAGTGTATATAGGACAGAAGAGCTAGATCATCTACGAAGTCTAAGTTGTCTAGTTGATTTCAAGCTGACCATTTTATTCCGTGCTTCCCGTCAGATGTCGAGGTCTTCATATTTCAGTCAACTACCAGAAGAAACAGAAAGGGGAAGAGTAGACATCTTTGTCTGATTCCGGTCTTTAATTGGAATAGGAAGAATTGTACATAGATCAAAGTAATCATCATCAGTAAGGAAATATTCTTTATCAGAAGCTGAGAATTCATTCAAATATATGTATGTAAACTTTTAGTGAATGACAACATAGGCGGGGGTTAACAAATGTACTTCAAACACAACAGGAAATATCGATAAAATCCTAGAACCATTCAGTAAATACTTCATTTGTGAATTATTCATCAATCGTCTCACACTTGACTGCTTCTCCCTTTCCATACTAACCACTCTCTATTCTCGTTCTCTTCTATTCAATCTTTTTAATTTTCTGTTATCAGACATTTTACTTTCGATTGACAACACATACTACTTATATCTGTCCAATTTCATCCATTTAAAATATAGTAAACTGAAGGCAATGTTGTGAGTTATTGAATTTATGTATACTGTAATTTTGTGAATATTGTTAGACTGATTAGTTTTTCTTTAAATGTTCTCATTTCAGTAGTATAACTTAGTACTGTTAAGAAA